CCCACAGGAGCAAGTAATTTTATTACTACTATGATCCTTATGTTTTTCATTTTTCTCCACACCTGTCAAGTGGACAATTATCTTTCGTAATTCTGGTCCGTAAATGATTTTCATCCATCTATTCTTCTCTGACACTGATTATTACGCAACGTCGCTTGATAACCGGAGACTCGAATCAACTTATGATACAATCTTTTCTATCCTTCTAAAGACATATATTTACCATACGACTATAAATGAGAATGTACATCTTAAGTAAATAATTTCATGGAAAAGAAAATTTTCTTCACTGAATCCTGTTTATTTATGGAAAAATGACAAAATAGGCTCATTTTTTAGATTGAATCTTTTAGCTACATTCAAATAAATATTCCTTACGGAAGGGGTTTTGTGGAGATTTTAGAAAACTCACTGACTGAAATCCAGAGATACTCCTGGAGTTCTAGTGAGAAGCCGTCACCAGTGGAGTTCAACCTGGTCTGTGGTGAAATATCAACTCTCTGAAGACAGTGGTGTACGGTGGCGCAATTTCGTGGATTGGTTGAAGTTAGAAATTAATACCGTTGGATACCGACTGGCTCAGTGGTCTAGTTGGTTAAGCTCCTGGCGCGAGACTGGTAAATCCTGGGTTTGAGTCTCGCGGCGGGTGGGATCATGGATGCGTACTGCTGAAGAGTCCCATACTAGGACGAAACGGCCGTCCAGTGCTTCCAGGTTTTCCATGATGGTCTAGCTTCAACTGACTGATTATTTCAATCAGTGAAATATTCTTTTTTTTCATTTGATTATACGAGATTCTTGTTTATGTAAGAAAAGTTTATTGAACGATAAAAAAAGTACCACACTGAATAGCCCACCTGGGTGTAAATCCTTCCATATTTATCAACTACGAATCTATGTAAATTTCATTTATCTCGATCTTAAATGGTGATAATCTATTAAATCATGTCAACCAAATATGAACTAGTAAATATCTTTTTATCACATATAGTACACACTGAATTACCTATTCATTTCGTATACATATATGTGAATCGATATATAATATTACTGATCCAAGACGTTGGTAAATGGTAGTCAGCTTTCTTATCACTTGAAACCATTTTTATGTAAAACTTCCTTTATCAATACATTAAAAACGATAACGTTTATTCTATAATAAAAAAGAAAGAAAAAATAAACCCACATTTCTTTTACACAACCACCTCAAGACAGAAACATAAATACATGTTGACTAGTGATTTACTATATTGATTTTTCAATAGTTTATTATATCTATTTTACATATATGTCATTCATATAATCAAAGATACATAAAAATATTATCAAGTTGAATGATCGCTTTATTAACTATATGATTGACCTGAAAATATCAATTTATAGGTAGATGAGCATCTTTATGAACTCATTCGTTTATTTATAATGATTACATAGATATGTCGATTTATATTTATCAGTCTTTAATACTTGAATAATCAATTTTAACTATAATTGACAGTATTTATTTATTTTCATTTATATGAACATTTATATGAACAATGAGTAACACAATCATTAATCATCTTAACAATAATTAAATAATGGCAATGATTTAATTAGTACATAAATAAACTATATATGCTCCATGAAGGTAAAATACTGTAGAATGAATCAAAACAAATAAGTGAATGGATACATAATGAATAAAAGTTCCTCAAGTAAAAAAAAAAGTATCACAAATTCTGTAACCATTTTTTTTTAATTTTCTTAAATTTAATTTCCATTTTCCAATTTGATCGATAATTGTCCGTTGTTCTCATTAAGTAACAAAACCAAAAAAAAAATTATTTAAATACACAAACATACATTTGCATATACGTATAGAGATAGATAGATAGATAGATAGATAGATACATATTTTGAAAATGATGTTTCTATATCTTTGGGTAAAAGGAAAGAGATGGGTTTACATTTCATTTATAATCAATTGTTATTCATAGTATAAAAGTAATATCTACTTATAATACACAGAATTATATACAATTTATGCATAGAGTAAAGTGTATTTCTCAGTATGTTTCCGTATCTCTATATATATATATGAGTATATTTCAACCAATTGCGTATCTAATACACATGGATAGAGGAAAAAGAAAATACCTAATTAGCATTTTTCTTCGTTTTTCTTTTCTATTTAATATGCTTCGCTGATGTTATTATTGTTTTGTTTAGCTTTTTGTAACAATCAAAACAACAAAAAAAAACTGACCTAATTTAAAATACGTGTAAAATTCAAAACAATTTACACAATAATGATAATCATAGTAACTTTGTTTTGTGTTTCAATATTTCTGGAGATATTTCCAGTTCATCAACGCAGAGTATGTTGTGTGTTTTGTTTTTCTGAAGAAAAAAAAGTTTCTGTATATTCAAGGAAAAGATTGAAATTCCCCTCCAACCTTCTAAAAAAAACAATAACATGATTTGTTATTTGGATTCCTGTTGTTTAATTTAATAATTTTTACTATCTACATTTGGTCAAATGATTGACTGACTGTAATCAATATGAAGTGAAATAGAATATTAAAAAAAGAAGTGAAAACAATCCACATTATGTATAAAGTTAAAATTAGAAAAAGATCTAAAAGTTATATTTTGATTATGTCCAATGAATTGAAATGATCAATTAATTTAGATTATAATAAATTTAGTTTAGGTTAAATAAGTTTCTAATTAAATTGATCAACCATTATAAACAATTATGGTTAAGAAGTTAGTGAAAAAGTGTACTTCACTGTAGTAAGTAAATTTTATTGTAACCATAAATTTATCATAAAGATATTACTATATTATATTCATAAATTAACTATTTTCTTAGTTGAAGCTAGACCACTATGGAAAACCTGGAAGCACTGGATAGCCATTTCATCTTTCAAGTGGTATATCTTGGAGTTTTAGTGAAAACTAGTGATCAGTGGAGTTCAACCAGGTCTGTTGTCAAATAGTAACTCACTCATGACAATGATGAATGTGTCACTCAATTTGGTGGATTAGTTGAAGTTACACATTAACACCGTTGGATACCGACTGACTCAGTGGTCTAGTAGTTAAGTGATTACGCACGAGGCTGATTGGTCCTGGATTCGAATCTCGTGGGGGGTGGAATTGTAGATGCGCACTTCTGAGGAGTCCCACACTGGGACGAAACGATCGTCCAGCATTTCCAAGTTTTCCATGGTGGTCTAGCTTCAAGTGACTCATGATCTCAACCATTAAAATTACTATAGTGTACACAAAACCCCTTCTGATAATAAATTAATTATTGGTCAAGTTATTGTATACTTACTGATGATTTAAACTCAATTACAGAACAATGAACTATAACGTTTTAGACCATAAAATCTGCTAATGACCAGCAGATTATCAAGTCATTCATGTTAATGAGTCTTTTTTTTTCTTGCGAAAATTCATCTGTGCTATTATACGATTTTCATGTAGATAGAAGTAAATTACATAATTTTCACGTAAACGTTTCTCTTTTTTAATAAATTTCACAATCCTATATAAATGAAGTATCAAATAATAATTATCATAGTAATGTATATTCTCTGATAGAAACTACGATTATGTTTTTGGTCATGATAGTTAATAAGTCTTGAATTATATGAATAGATTACACTCAATATATCATACGATGTAGGTTAACTAAATCTTTTATGAAATACATATGATTATATAAACTGAATGAGAATAGCTGTGTCTGACTACTGAACTGTAATAAATATTCTTTTCAGTATGATAAGTAAATTATATATCTTATAAAATCAATATCTTATAACTGTGATTGGATAATAATTTCACTTTGTTACTGTGTTTATGACAACGAATTTGAAAAGAACAGCTTATACCATAGCATATATATATATATATATATATATATATATATATATATATATATATATATATATGAACACTTGGATGTCTATGACAAAAACTTCAATAGCGTAAAGATAAATTCCATCGTAAACTAATGTTATCTAGAGTTTCACTGAAAAATATAACTCGTGGAGTCGAAAAAGCAGGCAGTGACATAGTACCTTACAAACCACATCAGATGACGGTTTTGCTACATAACATTTTGTAATAATAGTCCAAATAAAAATCATACTCTGTGTAAAAGCTTAAGGTTCATTTTCTACCCTCATATATAGTTTCAAGTGTGTCTTACAGTAGAGATGTAGACTGTAAAATAACATCTGTCCAGCGTTTTTCGATTTCCAGTAATTTACCAAATAAAACTAACCTATAATGAATGTCATCATATAAATCAAATAAACCAAACTATCCTATTAAACCAGTCACCATACTCTATGTAATGTGAAAATTAAGTTTCATTTATCAGGTTATGTGGTCACTGCATTAAATATGAGAATAGTTAAGTTTATAACTTTCTGTGAATTATTCGTAGACTATTAATATCTTAGGTATTCCATTGAATTGTATTAACATTTCTTTTTACATTTGTTGATTGAAAAGATCTAATTATTGACAAACTTTATCGTAGTTGATTCTATAAATATTGATTTTAAGTAAAAAATTATAACTGAAGTATCATTTGTTTCATAAACCAGAAAACAATTCTTATAACACTCTTAAGTGAAATGTAACTTTGATGAAGTACAATTTTATTTATTGACATTCATATATCCATTTACTTTTTTCCAAGTATGAAAAATTCATACTTTATGTATAGAAAAAAAAGAAAAGAAATTGAAATTACTGACGTATTGGTGTAAAACATAGCACTTTACTTTGATTCCTTTCACGTGATGTTGACTGAATTTAAGTAGTATAAATAAATCATTTCGGAATGATAAAATCATAAATTTTGTTATTATTTAAAGCTTTAAACATTTTGCCTTAAGGATAAATGACAAAGATTTTTTTAATAATTCTAAACAGTATTCCATGAAAGTTATAGATACAATAGCTGTAAATTTTTTCTTTATCTTTACATTAAGGAAATTCAATGTTCTATAGTCCATCAACAGGTGTTATGGTTAATCCACATACTGGACTACTACCATCTACATTAGATCCTAATCAAATGAGAAATCAAGATTCACAAACTATCAGTTATGATATACTCAATTCATCATCGAATTTATTATCTCTGTTAACTCATTCATTACAACCTATTCAATCAACCACATTCGTAACTTCTAATCCGCGTATCCCAATCATTACGAATACAACTGATAATAATAACGATAAGAACAATCATTTAAATATGTATAATAATACTAACAGTAACTGCAGCAGTATTAACAATAGTTGTAATCAGTCAACAGCACAAAATAAAGAACAACAGGTAGCAGAATCTATTAATACTAATCGTGCCAATAAATTACAGTTTTTATTGAATTCTGTGACCATAAATTCAATATTACAAAACGGAGAAACTACTAATCATAGTCCTTTGATTAATTCTGCAACTCACTCCTTACAAACAGATATCACAGGAGCAGAAAATGATCAAGTTGAAATTAGTCAGCATTCTCATTCTCTTACTAATCATCTTTCTCATTCATACTCAACTTATAGTCAACATAATCAACCACAATTACAAATATTCGGTCCATCAACAGTCCCATCGGTTCAACAATCATCAATTACTGGAATAAATTATCATCCATCAACCGTATCTGAGAATCTTGTTACAAATGGTCAAGCACATTATTTTATTACAGGTGCATCAAATGGAACAAATCCTAGTCATACAACAATATTTGCTAATCATATACAAACCTCACCAGTTACATTGATTCCAGAAATTGATTATAATGTAAGATTATAACTATTGTTGTTTTCATGTAAAATGAATAAATAACTTTTTAGCAATAGAACTAAAACCTAAAATTTTTATTAAACAAAATCGATTCTATTTAAAGCAAAGATATATAGTGGCTAGCAATAGAATCCAGGACGCGCGTTCCTCCCTATTTGCAACTCATCAGCTGAATTTACCTGCATCCCAGAGTTCATGTTCACTGTAAAACTCAAACCCAGTGCCGTTCGCTTCAAATACCATCGCGTTACCCACTTAGCTACTGATTCCTGATAGCCACCTGTTTTTGCAATGGGGTGAATTTTTTTTATATCACTTGATGTTCTTTTACTTGTATCTCCCCATCGTTATTTAGGACAGCAATTGATCAGTTTCTTGTTGGGATGCAAGTACATCCAGCTGATGAGTCCCGAATAGGACGAAACGCACATCCTGGAATCCACTACAAGCCACCATCTATCTTTGCTTAAAAAGCTTGTGACTTAAGTTTATATCGAGGCAATCCACACAGGTTGTAAATATACCAACCAGAGACTAATCAGTTGAAGTCCTAAATGACACAATGAGAAGATACAAACAAAACAACAACAAGTGAATTCAAAATCAATTCTACTTTAGAAATGAAGAATGAGTACCAAGACAAACAAAAAAATTAAATCTAAAGTTTAAAATTTCAAGAAGAAAAAAAGCGGGAACAAAAAAAAGATCAATGAATACGGATACATAAATGTATACAGATGTACTTGCTTAAGTTATCAGTATTTCATGTATATAATGTACAATTTTAAAAATGATAAACTACATTATTTCATGACTGATTAATTTTTGAAATTGTGTGAGAAGAAATTTTTTAAAGTTAAAACTAACTAGAAACAGTAATAATTCAATTAATTGATATTTCAATTTAGCTAATTTTATCAATATATAACTCCATTATGATCCAATAGAACAGTTGAATATTTTTAGTTTACATAGTAACTATTCAATTAGATGATTTATTGGATTAAATTGATTAACTTTTTGTATTATAAAGAAATGGATAGTTTATCAATTTATTTATTTATTTATTCATTTATTCTTTTGAATTTCGTTGACACATTAAAACAAAGAAGATAAAATTGAATTTTTGTTTAAACTGGGTTTTTTTAATGGTTGAGATTATGAGTCAATTGAAACTAGACCACCATGCAAAACCTGGAAGTGCTGGATGGTCGTTTCGTCCCATTGTAAGACTCCTCAGAAGTGCTCATCTACGGTTCCACCACCACGAGATTCGAATCCAGGACCAATCAGCCTCGTGCGTAATCACTTAACTACTAGACCACTGAGTCAGTCGGTATCCAACGGTGTTAATGTGTAACTTCAACTAATCCACCAAATTGAGTGACACATTCATCATTGTCATGAGTGAGTTACTATTTGACAACAGACCTGGTTGAACTCCACTGATCACTAGTTTTCACTAAAACTCCAAGATATACCTCTTGAAGCCAATTACTAGTGAGCTTATGTTGACTCATGATCTCAACCACTGAAATTACTATAATACCCAGAAAACTCTTTCTGATATTACACTAGTTTCCTTTAATTTTTCGTTCTTTTTATTTTTCTTTCTTTATATTTTCTTTATTTTTTTGACAAAATTTATTATCATTAGTATTATATCTAAATAATTTGAGCGTAATCAAACAAACAACTTTTACTCTAATTTCTACTTCATTAACTCTGACCTGATAAAACTAGTTAATTAAGTAAATTAATTCAATTGTTTTCTTTTTTTATGTATATCATCTAAGGTTAAGTAAATAAAGATTTAATGAAATCAATGTGAAATACCTAACTACTTTTTTACAAAATTAAAGTGATTATTTATTAGATATTGATTCGACTTAAAAGATAGTAAGCATCCTGAATGGATAAGAAACTGGAGACCTAAATAAAAATGTATTAAAGAATATTAAGTGATTATTTATCATAGTCATGAAACTAGTTAATAGTATCCACATAAGTAATATACAACGATATCCAGGAATACAATATATTTCCGTAGAAGATTGAGAAGGGAAGAACAGAAATGGAGAGCATTTGGTATGAAAATACAGGAACAATAAAATTCGAAACGATTGACTGATATTTGCAGAAGGAACAGTCACGTTTGAGACAGTTGGTTGATATTTTGAAAATTAAATATTTACTGTATGATTCGCAGATTTTGCTCAGAGATTCCGTAATTTTGTGTTCAAATACATTCGACTGTCCATACTGGTGTTCTCGTTCACTAAAGTATCAGTTTTGTTGATTTGTTACGATTTGATGAAAACATCTTTTTCAAAAAACAGGCCATTTCACTGAGTGACGTATGAATCGATACTAATATTGTAGAACTCATGTAACTGCTATTTTTAAGAATGTTCTCTACACTTCTGTGGTTAAAATAACCGAATCCAATTTGGATGAAATAGATTAACTTTTTTTCAAAATTCACAAAAATCAAAGCACGAATATTGTTAACTCAATCACAAAAGTGAAGGAATTAATAAAGATGAAATTGCTGAAGTTTTTTTTGTCTGATAGAGAGTGTCTGTTTCGATGGAATTAGACGAAATTTTATCAGTATAAATGAGATGACGTGTGTTGTTGATTCTTGTTTATTTTCCTATTTCCTTAACTTCTTCTGTTTACTGTTAAACCATTTCGTTCGACAACGAGTTGGTTTACATTTGAAATTTGAGTCTGAGAGGTTGATATATTTTATCAATGTCAACAGTGTTGTGAGACATTGAATGATAAATAACACTCATAATGAGCGGTTTAATATAAAGCTCCTAACTCAAATTGTCGACTAATTGAGAACTAAGAAACTTATTTTTACGTCAAAGCTTTACTTAGGTGTTAACTCAGTTATCAAATGTCGTGCTTAATTGATATCTTGAGCATCTAATTGTTCTCATTTCATCTTCCCAGATGGTCATATATTTGAACGTGAATCGAACAAACTTAGATATGCTAAATACTGGTTATCAAACAATCTAAGTATAGTAAGCTGTTAACTTTCACTAAAAAGAAAAATAGCTAATTCCTAGAGGTGAACGATTCTTGTCAAACTGTAAACATAAAACGAAGTTTATCGTGAACTAGTTTCATATGAATTCAACAGATATTCAACTGCTATAAGCTTAATGAATGTTAAGATTTTGGTTTTATAACTGACTGAAATATTCCTTATTATCCAGAATTCATTATTATAGATTTATATCATTGACCAAACTAACTTCCACCAAAATTTAGATTGTTTTATTTTGTAAATTAATCCTAATCAAACAAACATGTAACAGCCAATCTTAAAGTTACCTAAAGTGGGTAAACAATTATGAGTAATAAAATAATCTCAAAGTCTTTTATCAAATGTTACTAAATATTCTGTACATCCGCATCGGTTATTATTTATACCTGAATAAACGAGGAACCACTGTAATTCTCACAACGCGAAGTAAGAACACAAAGACTGGTACAAGTGAACATTTATTAACCCAAAAACTTAACGACGTCTTTAGTCGAAAATGCGTTCATTTTCTATTTATTGTACATTCATTTTGAATACTAAAATAAAGGCACATATATGAAAAATACTCAGAGTTATAACAAAATCACATGCTATATGTCATACTGAGCATAGCTTATGTTAATTTTTAATACAAGACTATGGTATCTTGAATAAGACATCACACTCAAATAAATTATTGTTCTATCAAATAAAATATTACACTGAAAACCGAAAACAAGAACTATACTGAGTAATCATTACATTGAAATAAGAATAAAAGTAATATTGAACAAAAGAAGATCACAATGAATAAACGAATGTAATTTTGTCTTTATATCCTATCATATTGTGATTTGTGCTACTGATATCGATAGATATAAGTAGTATGTTTTATCAATCGAAAGTCAAATGTCTAGCAGTAGAAAATTACAAAGATCAAACAAAAGAGAACGGGAACAAAATAAAATGATTGGTATGAAAACGAAGGAATAATCAAGTTTAAGACAATTGATTAACATTTTATAAATGAAGTATTGATTGTATAGATCTCAGATTTTTTTAAAACATTCTATAATTCTGTATTCGAATACATTCAATTATCCTCACTAATGTTCTCATTCACCATAATCACTGAATAGAACTTGATAAATACAAAGAAGTGTATAGATATGCATTAAATTTATGACTTTTAGATGTTGCTTTTAACTTGACAAATAGGACAATAAATGAATTTCTATATATATCAATTTCTTTTACAGACTTGTTCAATTATACATACATATAGAAATGGATAATACGATTTTTGATTAGTTCTTCATTTAACTTTAAATTTACCTCTAAAATTGAAGTGAGTTAATTCAGTTTCATTTATTTTAATTGGAATCATTTATTTAATTTTTTTTCTTTTCTTGTGTTTTTGTTGTTGTTGATAACATTTATTGAATCTACTTCAATGTGCAGTTGTTTTAAAGTAAATAATTTTTTTAAAAATTTCCCTTGAAAAATTTAAACAATTTATTTTTTAAATGGTTAAGATCATGGGTTGTTTGAAGCTAGACCACCATGGGGAACCTGGAAGTACTAGATGGCCGTTTTGTCCTAGTATGGGACTCCTCAAAAGTGAGCATCCACGACTCCACACTTCGCGAGATTCGAATCCAGGACCAATCAGCCTCGTGCGTAATCACTTAACCACCAGACCACTGAGTCAGTCGGTATCCAACGGTGTTAATGTGCAACTTCAACTAATCCACCAAATTGAGTGACACATTCACCATTGTCATGAGGGAGTTACTATTTGACAACAGACCTGGTTGAACTCCACCGTGTTCTTTTTAGCTTTTCAGAGCTTCTTAGAATATAATACTTGTTTGACTGATACTTTACTAACTGTATAATGTAGCCTTTTATCAGGTGTATTATACTGTTAATTTACATTCAAGTAAATAATATTTTTAAAATTTGTATTTGTTTTAGAATTATTATCTATGATATATCATTTTAAATTATTATTATAAATGTAGCTGAAATAATTGACAAGATTTTATTCATGAACTTTCTAATAATAATTACATAATGGTCTACAATTCATCCTTGTATTGGTCGTTTGAATCTTCTCGTTGATGTTTAGATCTGTTATTGATCAGTCTTTCACCGGCATATATGCATCCTGTGCGGATTGCCTCGATATTATATTAAGCCACAAGCATTAAAAACAGAGATGGTTGGTGACTGGAAGTGAAATCTAGGAAGCGCGTTTCGTCCTATCTTGAACCCGTCAGCTGGATATATCTGCATCCCAGAATTGATGTTCACGCAGGAACTCGAACCCAGTATCGTTCACTTCAAACGTCATCGCGTTATTCACTTAGCTCAGGTAGTTCAGGTAGTCACTAGCTTGTGCAATAGGGTGAACCTTATTCGTCTTTTGTATTGTTTGTTTGAATCTTTCTATTAATTGCCCCGATATTATTTCCCAAATATCTGTCCCACCGCATTTATACAAATGAAATGTAATCATTTCGTGCAATTAATATTCAGTTGAGACGGAACCACCCTACCTACCAATAATAAGTAGTATAATTTAGACTACACAAAAATTGATGTATAGAATTTAGTCTGGTTACTTAATAATACTTAATTATATCATGAATCCAAGTTATAGATAATAGGAAGTGCAGTTCAATATTTAGAGATCTATAATCTAATTTATTTTATTTTATTTCAGTCGTTTTACAGGCACAATAATCAAATGATTGGGTGAAAACATTCCTACTAATTTCATGTAGTCAATAAAAATATATTATATTTTTTTATTAAATTGTTCTCAACTCAACCAAAATGCTCAAACTCTTCAGTGTGACTACAAAAACATACCAGTTTCTAAAAATCAATCTAATATTCATTTATTCTTCATTGTTTGCATCAACAAAATCAGTACGATCTTATATTACAGATTATGTTGCCATAGTGATTATTATTATTATTATCAATTCTTTGAATGTAAACGCATGAATCGAGTTTTTCCTGACATATTCTACTTTCATCTTTCTTTTCCGTACCCTTCATTTCCATATGAACGTTTTTTTACTGGAGCATATAATAATTACCTTGTTTATTTCAGTGAATCAATAAATTAATTTTCAATATATGCATTTCTTAACACGATAATAAAGAATAAACTTCCTAAATCAATGAAAGAAAAAAAATAGTAACTTTGTAAACATTATATACTGTGGTAACACTAACTCCCCCTCATGAAAATAAAATGGAGATTGTTTTTTTTTGGGGGGGGGTTCAATATTCTCATTATTTTAATTTTCTTTAAATTAATTTATTTTCCAATGAAAAAAAAGCATGTCCTTTTTATTTTTCTTCTTTTAAACATTAACCTTTACGATATTTCATTTTTCTTTATTATTTTAATCAGGTACCGTTTATAATCTTTATAAAAAATAAAATAAACGTATCAAAATGGCTGTAAACTTTGCAAATTGTGTTAGAGTACAGTTTTACTATAATAATCCAATTGTTTATAATTTACGCTGTATAAATGTTTGTTTGTTTGTTTGTATTCTATTTAGTTATTTATTTATATATATCTGTAATTCACTCATTATTTCTATTTTAAAAATTATAAACAATAAAATATAATAGTTGCTCATTAATATAAACTCATATGAAATACTACAATTTTGGCATTAAAGAGAAAAAAGTTGAAAGGAACTCATTTTTTTCAACAAAACTAAACAACATTAGGTGAACACACTTTTAATAATCCTGTTTTAAGATTTACAATGAAATGGAAAGTTATAATTTAATCAAATTAATCATTTTCTTGTTGTTGGCGATGATGATGATGATGATGATGATGATGATGATGATGATGATGATGATGATGATGATGATGATGATGATGATGATGATGATGATGATGATGATGATGATGATGATGATGATGATGATGATGATGATGATGATGATGATGATGATGATGATGATGATGATGATGATGATGATGATGATGATGATGATGATGATGATGATGATGATGATGATGATGATGATGATGATGATGATGATGATGATGATGATGATGATGATGATGATGATGATGATGATGATGATGATGATGATGATGATGATGATGATGATGATGATGATGATGATGATGATGATGATGATGATGATGATGATGATGATGATGATGATGATGATGATGATGATGATGATGATGATGATGATGATGATGATGATGATGATGATGATGATGATGATGATGATGATGATGATGATGATGATGATGATGATGATGATGATGATGATGATGATGATGATGATGATGATGATGATGATGATGATGATGATGATGATGATGATGATGATGATGATGATGATGATGATGATGATGATGATGATGATGATGATGATGATGATGATGATGATGATGATGATGATGATGATGATGATGATGATGATGATGATGATGATGATGATGATGATGATGATGATGATGATGATGATGATGATGATGATGATGATGATGATGATGATGATGATGATGATGATGATGATGATGATGATGATGATGATGATGATGATGATGATGATGATGATGATGATGATGATGATGATGATGATGATGATGATGATGATGATGATGATGATGATGATGATGATGATGATGATGATGATGATGATGATGATGATGATGATGATGATGATGATGATGATGATGATGATGATGATGATGATGATGATGATGATGATGATGATGATGATGATGATGATGATGATGATGATGATGATGATGATGATGATGATGATGATGATGATGATGATGATGATGATGATGATGATGATGATGATGATGATGATGATGATGATGAGATGATGATGATGATGATGATGATGATGATGATGATGATGATGATGATGATGATGATGATGATGATGATGATGATGATGATGATGATGATGATGATGATGATGTGATGATGATGATGATGATGATGATGATGATGATGATGATGATGATGATGATGATGATGATGATGATGATGATGATGATGATGATGATGATGATGATGATGATGATGATGATGATGATGATGATGATGATGATGATGATGATGATGATGATGATGATGATGATGATGATGATGATGATGATGATGATGATGATGATGATGATGATGATGATGATGATGATGATGATGATGATGATGATGATGATGATGATGATGATGATGATGATGATGATGATGATGATGATGATGATGATGATGATGATGATGATGATGATGATGATGATGATGATGATGATGATGATGATGATGATGATGATGATGATGATGATGATGATGATGATGATGATGATGATGATGATGATGTTAAGAGGAACGATAATGGTATTTTAGTTATGAGTTCAATGAATTCACGAATATCACCTTATTTGTTATTAGTTATTGAAAGGACTTAAAATAACTGATGTTAAATAGACTATGAATATTACTTATCGCCGAAGCATTGCAGTGAAATTATATGAAATTGAAACCCTAAATCATTTTTTGCACATCATATGTAACAGAATTTTTATTTCATAAATCTCCAATGGTACTCAATTAACCGGTATAATAAGACATTGATTAACAATCCATATTCACATTACTTCTCATCATTTCATATACTCTCACCTTCACCCCACTGAAAACAATAGAAGCGAAGATGAATGAACAAGTCCAAAGCTGTTTGTGATATAACTGCTGGTGTTATGTCAAGCTTATATAGGTTATTCTAGCCTCTGGACAGATGAGTCTACTCATTCTTCTCAAGACACATTTTACCCTCTCACTTATTCGCTTATCAACATTGACTGTTTTTTATGTAAACGTATGTGTGTGCATCTCTTATCTTACTCATCACATGCCTTTAAATTATCTGTGTCTGGATTTAAATATCAATTCGCGCTTGGTTAAATCAAGTTGGCTCACTACCCTCCTTCATTGTGTGTCATTTTGTTTTGCTTCGCTTTCCAATCAATGATTTTACGAAATATACGTATTCGAAATGCATTCTCGTGCTTGACTTATTTTAATCCCGTTATTCACCAACACGAGTCAAGTCAGTGATAATATACGAAGATTAGCAATATGTATATTCCAATAACAAACATTCATACAATCTAACTGGAATCAGCTCTCGGGCCACCAGTTATTGCTCACGACGATTGTACGATTGTAAAGTATGAAGTTGTATCAGATGCGATCTTAAGAGTTAACTACTAATAATTTGATCTCATAAGTAAATAAATCAAAAATAAAATCATGTCAAATAGAAGTCATTTGTGGTTTTTATCGTAGTAACTTATTTATTTCGTTTACACACCAAATATATGATTATCTATAATTAGATTAGTTGTAATCATTAGTTACCAATTGAATTCTAACTGTACATTTCCCACTTTGTACTAACACAATTAATCATGATTACATTAAATGTCTATACGATTCTTTCAACTTCATAAACCTATATAGTTTCCCAATAAGAAAGAGATGAATTAATGTGTATATTTTTTGGGATGTTACCATATCCATTTTCAGACTATTGCTTCATTAATTATATAACAGTTCATATGAATGTATGGTGCATATACTCTCCGAATATGTTTACCATACTTGACTATAGTTGTTGTAAGTATCTATAATAAGAAACCATGTGTATATGTATCTTTTCTGGAGAAAACGTTTATTGTACATAAACTATAGTATCATTATTCATCTATTAATATGGAATATCCCAAAAGCCACTATCCATTTTGATCATTCAAAATGTATTGCCTTATTAAATCATGTAGTTTGATAAACTTCGCTCATCTGAAAATGTTAAACAGTTATGGTTGAAAATTGTGAAGGTTGTTTATATTAAACACATTCTGAATCATAAGTGAACTTTATTTAGTCTCCTATTAACAGACAAATAAAACTAGACAGCCATTTTGTCCTAGTATGCAACGCCATAGCAACGTATATTCACAATCACCAAGTCTTGCCTCAAGCGCGTACCCTTTGGGTCATTCAGTAACCACACTGTGGTTCAATAATGATAGAACTCAAGCATCTCGGGAGTGAAAAAGGTACACCAATGGCAAAAGATCCTGTAACCGAGATTTCGTACTTTAAGTGAAGTAGAAATTGTGAACTATTTGATATCCACTTAATGGTTTAAGGAAATGCGCTTGCAGTAAGACCTGAAGAGCTTTCCTTTGATCATTAGGGAGTTTGTGAATGCACACTCCTGATAACTCACATATACAACAGGACAAAATAAACATCCAGCCTTCTCTAGTCTTTACTTTTTACTTGCTTACGCCTGTTACTCCTCGTGAAGGAGAATAGGCCGCTCACCAGCAATCATTTCCAGCTCCTTCCAGTTGTTATTCATCCTTTTCATATCGGTTTCTATTATCCGACGTACTGTGTTCTTTGGTCTTCCTCTTTTCCGCTTCCCTTCAGGATTCCAAGTTAGGGCTTGTCTCGTGATGCAGTTTGACGATTTGTGTAATGTATGTCCTATCCATTTCCATCGTCTTTTCTTAATTTCCTCTTCAGCTGGAAGTTGCTTTGTCCTCCCCACAGAAGGCTATTGCCGATGGTATCCGGCCAATGGATGTTGAGTATCTTGCGTAGACAACTATATATAAATACTTTTACCTTTTTGATGGTTTTAGTAGTTCTCCAAGTTTCAGCTCCATACAGTAGAACTGCCTTGATGTTCGTATTGAAGATTCTCACTTTGATATTGGTTGAAAGTTGTTTTGAGTTCCATATGTAGGAATGCGACCCTTTCTTTGCCAATCCTTGCCTTTACGTCTGCATCTGAGCCTCCTTGTTCATCGATGATGCTTCCCAGGTATGTGAAGGATTCTACATCTTCCAGAGTTTCGACATCAAGAGTGATTGGATTGCTGTTCTCCGCTTTGAATTTGAGGACTTTGGTTTTCCTTTTGTGTATACTGAGGCCTACTGATGCAGAAACTGCTGCTACACTGGCTGTCTTCATCTGCATCTGTTCGTGTGTATGCGATAGGAGGGCTAGGTCATCTGCGAAGTCCAGATAATCTAATTGGTTCTGAGCTGTCCATTGTATGCCGTGTTTTCCTTCAGATGTTGAGGTCTTCATAATCCAGTCGACCACCAGAAGAAAGGGAGAGAGTAAACAGCCTTGTCTGACCCCGGCCCTTACTTGGAATGCATCTGTCAGCTGTCCCCCGTGCACGACCTTGCACTGTAGTCCGTCGTATGAGTTTCGGATAATATTGACAATCTTCTCAGGAATTCCGTAGTGTCGAAGAAGTTTCCATAACGTCCTCCTGTCTACACTGTCGAATGCCTTTTCATAATCAATGAAGTTGATGTATAGTGACGAGTTCCACTCAACTGATTGTTCGACAATGATCTGTAGTGTTGCAATTCGGTCTGTGCACGACCGATCCTTACGGAATTCAGCTTGTTGATCTCGAAGTTGGGCGTCTACTGCATCCTTCATCCGGTTCAGCAACACTCTGTTGAAGACTTTCCCTGGTATTGACAGTAGTGTAATGCCTCTGTAGTTTTCACATTTACTCAGATCTTCTTTCTTTGGAATCTTGATGAGGTGTCCTTCTTTCCAGTTCATCGGCACTTGTTCCTCCTCCCAAATCTTCTTAAATAGAAGGTGAAGCATGTTTGTAGTTACTTCGATGTCCGACTTCAGTGCTTCAGCTAGTATGTTGTCTGGTCCCGCTGCTTTCCCGTTCTTGATTTGTCTGACGGCCATTTTGATTTCTTCCTTCGTTGACGTCTATGGGAAGATCTGTGTGTGCTGCTTCGATGTCCGGTTGATTTATTGGAGCCGGCCTATTCAGGAGTTCCTCAAAGTATTCTACCCATCTGTTCCGCTGTTGTTGAAATTCAGTGATTGGTTTGCCTTCTTTGTCTTTGACCGGTCTCTCTGGTTTACTGTATTTCCCTGATAGTTCCTTCGTTGTATCGTAAAGCTGTTTCATATTTCATTCTCTAGTAGCTTTTTCCGCCGTCGTTGCTAGTTCTTCCACGTACTTCTTCTTGTCGGCTCTAATGCTTTTCTTCACTTGCTTGTTTGCTTCTGTGTATTCAGCTTGTGCTTGGACTTTCTCTGCTCGTCTCTAGTCTTAAGGGATATCTATTTTAAGTCAATCTTTGATGTATAATATATTCAACATGAAGGTGTGTTTTGAAATCCTGAACACTTAAGTTGAGTCTACGAGCATTTTGCGTATTTATGACCTATTGACTTAATGTACAATTCATAAAATGCATGTTTTTTTTACACTGATAGCTACAACTTTGAAGCTGAGGCTTTATTGTTTATACCAATAGATACTGAGCAAATTCATCTTTAAATAACAGTCATACTTATTAACATGTAGATACATTTATTAATAGGATAAGTTACAAATAAGACAAAACAAGTATTCATCTTTTCAAATAAATATTTCAAAATATAATTTATATTAATGGCTCTAAATAATTCGACTTAAGGAATACTTGTTGAAGTCAAAGATCATTTAATAATTACAAAAAAATCCTTAAGATGAATGAATAAATAAATAAACACTATTCAACAGTTTTCATTTTTTTGACCTTCTACCAGTATTCACAATAACATTTGATCTTGAATCCCATAAGTCAGTAGAACTGAAATTTTTGGATAAAACAAGCAAAATAATAATTTTTTTAATATTATTTAAATTAAACATTGAAGAAGTCTACATTGTAATGTGTCGATGTTAAAATGAAATAGAATAATTTAGAATAACTCTACTAATTCATTGAATTTATACTACCAGAATCTATACACTTGATGATTACGATCACATTATGACACTAGATATTAACTGTAATATATTTTATCATTATTCGACTGTACAATCAGTCAATTATAAACAACGTGAGAAGTAACATAAAGTATATATGTTCAAATTAAAATATCCTACGGCAAGAAAAATCTCCATTTACAATATCGACTATGCAAACAGAGTTATTTTTCCACAGAAAATCAATATACTTTACATTTCTCTATTTCTAGATACCAGGAAACTGATTGTTTTATGACTAAGGAGTTAAAAATTAGGAAGATTAGTTTGTAGAAAGCAACTAGTCCCTTTGATAAATTAGGATAATTCAGGGAGCATACGAAATTCATCAGCAGTATGTGATATATTAGAGCAATAAATATCCAACAATCTGGTTATACATATACTTCTTAAGACGAGTCTGTTATACTTCAATGAGTCTATCAATTTACAAGTGTTTGTGCACACATACATAGGGAGTACGAATTGTGATCGCTATGTAATTGTGACTGGACACAAGATCAAATAAATTCAAATAACAGCATAGGAAAGGCGAACATCTTTCGCCGTTACGAAACATTTGGTTTATATATATAAATGGCTAGGTAGATAAATTGAAAGATAAGAAAGATAATGAGGAAAACTTTGTAAATCATATCACACTGAATAACAAATCAGTAGGATCAGGGTAAGAACAAGCCCCTTTTGAACATATAAAGGGGCTTCAATCTTCATTTGACCGAGGCCTCAATAAATCTTAGTATGCGTTTTCTAAACACGTATCCAACACTGCAAGGTTAATTTGATTTCCACCCCATGACTAACCTTAACCAAATGTTTCGCAACGGCGAAAGATATATATATATATAGATTCAAAAACACTTTTCACATTTCGTTGTCCAAACTTCTAATATGTTATTTTAGAAATTATAATAAGTAGAATACAAAATCCTATTTTCCAACAAACTTAGATAATCCAGATGGAAAGCTATTCTGCATGTGATCATAGGTCTTTCAATTTTTAGATCTATAAAATGCAGACTATAAACATCGACATATCCAGAATTCAGCCAGTAAAGACTTCAGTGGAAATGATATCAGCAGGTATTCAAACTTAAGTTCTTATTTTTAGTCAAAATTAGATTTGTAAACGATCACGATATAATTTAGCTTGCTAATATCATTTGATAAGGAACGAAATCAAGAATGACTTCAGATAATTTTAAGTCGAAGATTTAGTGCATAAATCAGCAGATAAGAGTCTAACATACCTTCCGTGTTTGTTCGACATATCCGAATGAACGGTAGTTTTTCCAAAAGAATTAGAACGATTCATCCTACTAAAAAGAGTTTGAAATCAAACAATAATGAATATTTATTATGTTGACGATTTCAAAACAATGTTTGATAAACAAGGAAACCAGTGAGAATTATCACAATCTGTTACCAATAAAACTCACAAACAGATTATCAACAAATATTAAAACAGCTCATAATCCCTTTTTAAATTCATTGCGGAAACTGTTTGCTCCAAAGATTATAGCTTTATAAAATAATAATGATTAACTATTTAACTATCAAAACCCTTAATTTCAGATTTTCTACTGAGGGATAACTATGTACGGTTTCCGAACCCAAAACTTCTCAGCCATGTGAGTCATACAGTTCTAAGTTACAAACATTGTGGATATAACGAGGTTAAAGAAACCTACTGTGTAACTTTGCTCTCAAAACTCGAGAGATAATCTTGTACCCACGAACATTAGAAACCAAACCTTTAAACAGATGAGCCCACATGTAACTGACTACCGGAGTAGACTTACTACAGTATGAGTAACACACAATATGTATGCCGTAAGTTAATTAACAAATACAGGTATATGTGCTCAGCTTTAAGCCGCATGGTTGAGGTGTTAGTGATACTACCCGGTTACCTAAACTAAAGTAAATAAGGCATGATCTAAACCAGCTACCTACTGGTTGATGATCAGCAAAATATATTTTTAATTAACTTGGCATGTTTTGAAGACCAGAGATATCTTTTAAGGCACTTAGGCATATTATAAAAAGTGTCATTTGTACTGAATGATGAAATAAAGCCTGGCTGTTAGAATAATGAATACTTTATACAACGAGCTACATTTGAAATATTGATTTGAAATTTTTTATAAACGCAAACTAGAGTCCTAACTCCCAAATACTATATAGTTCAAGTGTCTGTGTAGCGAAAACCATAGAAATCACAATATTTTCTGCTTTATACTTCTTTAAAACTGAGGTTTAACCATAACAATCAGCTCTAAGCCTATAAAATGCTACAATGGCTACAATGAAATAGTATCTTTAAATTAGTTCGTAAATTACACCACTTTAAAATTATTGAAGGATTCTCTCACACTTTCAGACTGTCGGCAAGTGAAACATTCACCTAAGTATTCATCCAGCAATATGCTCGGAACTCACATTATTATCATGTTTTCCAGGCGATTTATTGGCCTGAGAAACCACTGTATATATCTAGTGCGATTTTATCTTTTAGGTGCAGAGTTGTCCATATTATATGATTCAGTAAATGAGTGATCAGCTACAAGGACTTACACACTATAGATTCGTTGACATTCTTATTTGTTTAGAAGTATTTTAATGTTTAAAAGCAACTCGTAATTTTTTAAGGAGATTTTGAGCCATTAAAACGACCGTAATAAAAATAACTTAAGAAACTTTTACGCTCCGTACGACGCGAGATTAGCTATACTAAATATCTTCAATTAATCACGTAAAACAATCGGATGGCAATTGATCATAGCTTTCAAACTGCTTAAAAACAAAGCTGGCAAAGACAACCCACTGCTACTCTCGTTATTCAAAATAATAAATTTGCAAAATCACCAAACATTTCACAACTCTGTAACCGAATACCTGCCGGAAGAACACCAACCTTCTGGCTTAAATTTTCATGGTAACATTCTTCGTTCACATGTGAGAAAAGTCCCCTTAATATATATACTTTAGAGGTTACATCAGACACGAGTTCATGCGCAAGATGACCACAAGTGCTCTAATGCCCTATTTCCACTAAGACTCATTCGTAAAAGCAGGTATTTGGTCATACTAAGACACTAAATTTTATGTTTATATATGAGATTTAGCTCTAGTTAAACTAGATGCTATACAATGCTTTCGGTATAACACTATGAAGACACTAAATTTATAAACAAAATTAGTACGAACTAAACTAATGCTTATGTTGCATGTAACTTTACCTAGAAAATTCAAAGTTCAGTAGTTTCCTGGAGTTAAGGGAAACAGGAACCCATTCTTCTAAGTTCGCTGAAAATTGTTCGTGAGATTCGCGTGTATTCAGAAACAAACGTTCAGGTGTGTATAAAGAACATAATTGCTGAAAAAGTGATGGGAAAATGTAAACATTACTTGGCTACTTGGAATCGGATCATCGTCAGTGTACCAAAGTTGCCAATCTTGTAAGCCTAAATGTACAACCGCCAATCTGATGTACTGCCGAAACGTGCAGCAAATCTTGTGAATACTCAAATCATTATTTAAAATAAAAACACCTTCTTGATTATCACTAAAAACAAAAATAACCGTGGTGCCATTCAGACACTTTTCTAGTTCATAACTAGTCGGCCATCTATTGAATCCAGGGCCCAGGGAACTGTTTACAAATACCTCAAAATCGTCGTTTTTTGCCTCTCCATCAAGATTTATGCAACTTAATTTTATGGATTTGAAATCCTCTAGTTTATTTATTTTGATTAGTCCAGCTACAGATGTTTTTTCTAAAGAATTCTCTTAATTATGTTACAATTTACCATTACAAATACTGTACCATCCAAGTTCGATGCCATTAGTAGTCAGATAAAAGTCTTTTAAATCATTTGGCAAAGTTAAGTTGTTAAGCGACTCCCATATTTGAACTTTTTCTCCTGAAACCGGTTCATTTATTTTCAAATAAACATCATAAACACCGGGTTTGGTAACTTAAAAAATTAAAAAACATGAAGATGAGTAGTACCTATTATATCTTTTAAATCTTGAAATGTTTTAAGGAACATGCGGAAATATTGTGCTCCTCGTTGATATGTGGAAATTCAACCACTGAATGACTTGATTATTTAATTCTATACAGTATGCAACGCCTAGGTAGGGAAGACACAGAAGTATACTTAGATGTGGGAATATAAAATGTTGACAGTTTCCATTGGAATAAGGTTTCAAAAAAGAACGGCAATTGAATAAATTTATATGAATTTGTTGTTGAGTTTAATTTGATATTATGGATGAAACAATCGTAGGAGCGATCAATCCATCAAGATGTATACGTCAGTCTCCAATTGTAAAGACAGAAGGTCAGATAACTTTTGTCAACCCTTTAGTTTTATAGTACTACAAAGATCTGATTTCGCTTTGTATGAATCAGTAGTTGCTAATAGCGTGTGTTCTAAAACCGAATCCCAGTAATTCGCCGCCTGATGTGTTAAACAAAACTCCAAAACCAAAAGACTAGATCTTGGTTCCTGGGATCTTTTGAGGAAATCGTTTCAGGTTATCAGTCCTAGATGGAAAAAATAAATTAGATATATTGGTGCAAAAGTTATTATTCTGTGTACAGCAAGCAAATATGAAATTACCTACCAACCCACACTCGAGTAACAAAATTAAGTGAAAGCGTGTACGTCTATTTCAGATGACAGATCATAGAGACCTTTCATTATTTCAGCCCCATACTTATCAGACCCATTCAACTACATCCACTTCATCGTCGAAATAAGAGCTCACTGATGAAATTTTATATTCCGAATTCGATCCCACGTGTATTTGGTATGATATTCTGAGAATTATTTTCATCTAAATCCCGATATGTTTTACGAATTTACGATAAAACTGGAAAGTCTTTGTAGGCAACTAACTTGTAGTTCCTGTTGTATTAGTTATCTTTATAATCAGTGACCGAGGAGAAATGGATCAAGTAAGAACTAAAATGTAAATGTTCTTGGATATATATTTCAGTAATCGAATGCACCAGCATATGTAGTAGGGACAGACAACAAAAATATAATTGAATCGAACGAATACGACTGAATTGGAATAATAGTCGTATTGGATTAAAACCGAATTTAGACCTCTTCTCAATCGGATTGGGCTTTTACTAACACTGGCAACCAGAATCAGCAGCAATTGTACTAGAATGAAAATAAAACTGGAAATAGAATATCCAGCAATTGTATTGTAGTTAAATAAGCCCATGACTACATCAGATTGATCTGTATTGCATTAAAATGGATACGAAATATCCAGAGTGTCAATTAGTCAGCGTGTCTCAGGTATTTGTAAAACAGTATAACAATGTAATATGATCGACAGATAGGTATGTAGGCTGACAGCCACTCAAAAGAATATTAGAAGGATTCACATGTAAGGCACAAGTTAACCAATAGGATTGAACTAATTCATTTGACAATCACATGTTTAGTTAGATACCGTATTTTGAAATGAATGTGCCAATTTACTTATCTCACAAATCTGTATTATATAATGTCATTACTTACGGTCCTGAGGTTATAACTGCAAACTCAAGCTCCTTATGATCAATAACGCTAATTAAAGAGACTCCATATCTTATGTAGTGATGAAAGATACTATAGGGACCATATCGCTCTACTACACTTACACAAGAATTTAAAGTATGACCATAATTTATGGACGACATTTAAGTGACGCTAAAGTGACCTTCGGAAAATTCCTCTACTCACTGAAGTTGAAAGAGGAATATAAATTAGTGTGAGGAGTTGGGATTAGCATTTAGAGTTAAACCCCAAAGTTAGGAACAATAGTTAAAAATTTCACTCCCAAGTGATATCATCTATGAAGTCAAGATACTGCTTAGCCGTAAGAATGAATGTGTTTAGTGTCAAAATTTAAGACGCTATCTTTAACTTCGTTAATTCGTCCGCAAATTTACATTTTAACGAAATTAGAGCACATCCTTGTATAAATTTTAATGGAACAATGAGAAGGTGTAGTTGATCTGAAAAAAATGATGCAATAATCTTATAAATTTAGAACAATTCGGTCACATATACTTTCCAAGGCATTTTATAAGAAAATTAGTGAAGGTTAATGATATGAAATCTTAATCGATAGCAAACCACATGATTGAAACAGGCCGTAGGACTGACATCGAGAAGTTCTGTGGAAAATGTGAGGAACGAATTATTGACCATTCACAAATTCAAACCTTTTTTATGAGTACAGAAACGGCCGGTCATAACCTTTAGTTTGTTCTGATAGTCCTTAAGCCATTTTATGGCCTAGGAGTAAAGTTCCATTATAAAGGTTTCTAATTCAATCTCTAGGTAAAAAATAATTCACACGGATTCTTAATTCTGCTTTTGAGCCTATATGAGAGATTCTACTGATAGCTTAGCAGGGATCCCTGAAGAATAAGTCTAACGGAATATTCATGAATTTCTCTGTCTCTTTTTAACGAAAGAAGATCAACCATATAATATTCACTTGAAAACAACGCTTTTTCTGTGTGTTTTTTTGAATTTTTTTATTTTTCTGGACTTTTCAAGAGATTTACCAAATTTACTTCAAAGATAAGAAAATGAACTAAATATTATTCCTTTACAGGTAGCTTGAAATAGCAATATAAATCATCTCCATCAAATTACCAATAATATTATTGGTTCAGATGACCTGATCAGAAATTTAATAAATAACCCAGTTACCAAAAGCATGAGGCTTAAAGCATATAATGTAGGTTTAGACTATATGTAATGCATAGGACAAATTGCATGGAGACATATGGCTTTACAACATTTATCTCTATGTTTTTAAGGGCTGCACAAAAGTCACTCAACCATCTGTATCAGAACAAAAGACCCTTAGAATTTGAAAAACAGTCAATCGACCTGTTTCGTGGAATTTCAAAACCACACAAAGCATTTAGTTATGGAAACGTAACAAATCAGCATCCAATGGTTCATATGGTTCTTCAGTCTTCAAATGATTCAAGTAGTTGTGGACGGAATAGAATAAGCTTTCGCTTAACGAGCTGGCGTATCTGGTAGCAGTGGATCATCAGTAGCTCCAGGCAGGAACCTAGGTATATTAACGATAATAGAGGGAAAAGAAATTGGTAAATCATAGTAAGATATTATTCTTAGTTCTTAAGAACAGGTCAAGTTTCCTCTTAAAGGACTCCTAGGAAGTCGCTTGGACTAGCTCAGCCGGCAGCGAATTCCAGAATCTTACAACTCTTGAGGAGTAGATATGTCTACAGACCGTTCTGCTGTGTTGTGTCTCTAGTTTCTGGGTGTTGCCCCTTTGATTTGTGTTGGAGCTAAACTTAAGCAGGTGTTTAAAGGGATAGTGTGTCAGTGAACCTGTGTTAATTTTGATAGGATTGCCTTTCAGTGAAGGTTCAGCTTCTCCTTGAAAATATTCACTGATGTAGCCGATACCACTTGTTCGCGTAGGGCGTTCCAGTCACTGACTACTCAATGAGAAAAACGGGACTCCACTTTAAGTTTTTAGATCGCTGTTTGTGAATCTTCTTTCTATAACCTTTGAGATTATTAGTGCTGGAGGGAGCGAAAAGATACGACATATTAACACCCAAATCATGAATAAAAATACGAAATGACAGGATCAGGTCACCTCACATCCTACGATACGAGAAGGGGAAAATGTTAAGGCTTTTTAAGCGCTCATAGTAGCAGAGCTTAAAACAACACTTCGCTAATGTTCACACACGCTGAATATGGTCAAGTGAGTAAATGTCTTTTATCAGGTACGAGCCAGCTTCTTGAATACAGTACTCTAAGTGTGGTCTCACATAAGTGGGATATGAATTCGAAACACCTCGTCAAAGCATTTGAATGCTCGGCGCAGTAACCATAACGGGATAGAAGCTTTTTCTCTTCGTATCTATTAACAGTGGATCAATGACGCCTCCAAATAGGAACCTAGGTATATTAACGATAAAAGAGGTAATGAGAAAAAGGTCGATAAATCATAGTAACATACTGTTCTTAGTCCTTAAGATTAGGTCAAGTTTCCTCTTAAAGGACTCCTGGGAAATCGATAGGACTAGCTGAGCCGGCATCAAATTTCATCATCTGACTACTCTTAAGGGGTAGACGGTGTGTCCACGGTCGGTTCTACTGTGTTGTATCTAGTTTCTAGGTGTTACCCTTAAGGTTTGTGTTGGGACTGGGCTTAAGCAGATATCTAACGGGATACCCAGAAGTTTTTAGGATGCCGTAAGTCAATCGAAGGTCAACTTTAAGACACTTGTACTTTAACGGGTAAACGTTCAGTGATTGGAAGCGCTCTCCGTAAGGCTTGAATTTCAGTCCCTGAACTGAGTTCGTGGCCCAAGTTAGATACGCTCCAGAGTGTCCTTATCCTTTTAGAGTGAGGGACGAAATACTATGTTTCCGTCCTCTAAATGGGTACGAAAAGAACTGTTGAGGATTATATGAAAAGTTCCTCCTTCGAACTGGCCGAAAATGCGCTTTAAAGTTATCAGTGCAAGGTTTGCTCAGAAGATACTTTTGCCGCAGTTGGTGCAAGACTTCAAATCATAAGGCACCAACATTCCTGAATCTTTTTCAACTTGGGATACCTCTTAAGGGGAATTATTTAACCTACATTCGTGGTCTGTAACATGTCTCAGATGACCTAATTTGCGCTCTGAAGTGTCATAAGTAGGTCCCTTGTCATCTGCTCAACTCTGGAGTCAGATCAGATCCTCCTGAAGTGCCAGTTTATCCTCTTGGCTCTATGCTGCTCTCCAGAGTTTCACATCATCAGCGAGAAGTAGCAAATCTGACTATGCCTGCTATGGCAGAACATTTTTATAAATCAAGAAACGAATTGGTTCAAGTACTGAAAACTGTGGGGCCTATAGCCTGAGAGGAAGTGGAGTTAACCCTGACCATAAAATGTCGAATTTTAGATATGAAGTGAGCTAATCAATTAAAGGTGATTTGATACTTAAGCGTTTGAGCTTATTGATAAAACATATGTGACTGACCCTATCAAA